AACTAAGCTTCAATTTTTATATTAATTTTTATTATTAAGAAAAAAAACATGTTTTAATAGTTGATTCTATAATTTTGTATACAGTAATAATGCTTTGATTGAAGTGGAATGAAAGCAATTTTCAATAAATGAACTAAAACTTTAAAAAAATATTCTTGAAATGAGCAAAGATCTAAGGTTAGCAGACTTTTGTAACGGCTTATTATTTTTTAATTTTATTATGATTTGATTTATTCTTCATATTTATGTATTTATATATATATCCGTTACAATTTAATTAACTTGTGAAATTTACATTTATTTGCTTTTATTTTATCAAATTCCGAAAATTAACTGACTTCCTGATATTAATAATAATAAACAAACTTTGTTTTATAAGAACATAAGAAAGGACTCATTTTTTTTATAAACGAACTCGAATGAAAAAATTGATAATCCAAGTTCAATATTTATAAGCAAATAATTACTTAAATTATTCTGTTAAATAAAATAAGTCTGTCTATTTGTAAAATCTATATTTATTTACCAATTACATTTGATGTATTAATTAAAAATAATTAATTTATTCATTAATTCATTTCCAAGAACAGAACCTGTTTCATTGCGTATCAATCTACCCACATCTAATTGCAAACTAATTTAAGTAATTTGTAAATCGATTTCGGTACACGTATTATCGTTACTCAGGTCAGTATAAATATCTACAAACCGATAGGCAATAACAATAATACCTGTCAAGGCTACTCGATCCAGATGAAGTAATAATTAAAATGCACTTGCTGAGACTACTGGAATTAAATAATAAAAAAAATAATAAGTAATAGTAGAACGTTGCGGAGAATAATATATTAATAATTGCAAAGAGTTCAGTGACTAACGTTGCTGATTATTTATTATAAATATCTATTTATTTCTCTCTCTATCTATTACTACCATAATTTTTAGCCTTGTCAATTATTGGAGTCTGGATTTTATATCATCGGATCATTAATCACTGTGTGGAAAATCGTAAACGAAACGATTAAAAATAATCATCATCATTGCTGCTACATGTTTCTACCATTGCTTACTTTGTTTTTTTCTCTTTCATTATCGGATGCATTTTCTACGTACGTCACAGCGTTGATCGAGAATTGGAATTTTGAATGATTTATTACATGTCATGCCTAATGATTTCATACAAAATTACAACCCATTATCTCGACTCGGAACACGAAATACAATTCTCTGTAAATAATAATCAAAATAGATTTGAATTAATAAAAAAAAAAACTTTAAAATTTTAATTATTTAAGGAAAAATAAATTGATTTTTCTTATTTTATTTATACATTTTTATTGCTTAAATTTGGACTATTTATTATCTGAATTAGTTAATATCTATACGGAATAAATATCTTTTAATATCTAACAATGTTGTTTTTCATATATGGATTGAAAAGTTGTAAGTGATTTCGGCAATTTGTTAGTTATGTTTGTTCCTTTTTGGTCATTTTAATGCAAATTTAATCCAAATTGTTCAATATTATATAGAAAGAATCTTAACTGGTCATCAAGTTTAGATTTTGTATGCTTCATGTATATATAAGGATTTATACAACAACCGACTTTCACAACCGAATTCAAACTATGACATTATTTTTGCGCCACCTTGTTTTACACTTATAAATGATTTTTACTAAGTTCACTATCTATCTTAAGAGTGACTGCTTGAGGCAAGATATTTCGTATAGAATTCAGATTAGTCTTCTTCCATCAACTTATAATCACATAAACAGTGTCTCAAGTAAACTTAATCATTTTTGTTAATATGAGAATATAATATTCAGTTTCTTATATTCGACAACTTATTGTACGTGTACCAACTTAAAATGGATACTGCAGTACTGCAACGCAAAATAATAAAAATTGAAAATTAATAAAACAAAGGAAAAAGTAGCAAAATTGATACAAAATAAATATCTAGCACGTAAATTTTATCGTTCTCGGAACTTCGTGCTATGACAAAGGCAAAAACGACAATGTCGAAATATAAAGGAAAAATGCGAACTTTTATGTTTTGGAATCGATTTATTGATTGAAACGCAAACTTTGAACGTCGCCCAAATATGTATAGAAAACAGCATAAATATTCCACGACACGATTTATGCGACTCCATAGTTACAAAGTCTCTTCAATGTAATCTATGTTTCAATTTGTTTACCTATCTTTTAAATTAAACAAAGTAAATTTTATTGTATGCATGATGATCCAAATATCTGCTAAACTATAGATACATTCCTGTGCTCTTATCCATATTGCTGTAATACGCGTTCCAATTGAAATTAAAACGTTCGAAAAAGCAGTGTTTTCACATTTCATTGATTTACTCAAAAACTATAATAGATAGAATAAATACAATATATGCATATGAAAGCTGAATGTTTGAGGAATACAGCAAGTATAGATACATTCCTGTGCTCTTATCCATATTGCTGTAATACGAGTTCAAAGTTGAGAAATTGAAATTAAAACGTTCGAAAAAGCAGTGTTTTCACATTTCATTGATTTACTCAAAAACTATAATAGATAGAATAAATACAATATATGCATATGAAAGCTGAATGTTTGAGGAATCCAGCAAGTATAGATACATTCCTGTGCTCTTATCCATATTCCTGTAATACGCGTTCAAATTCTTTTGGGGGGTCGCAGAAGTACAAACCCCCTTTTGGGGACAATATACAAATTCGATTTAGCCCAAATATCCTAATCCATCACTGCTTATCACTTGACATTTTTGTTTTTATTTTTCTTGACATTAATTAAATAATAAGAAAAACATCAAGATGAAATTAAATTAACTCCGCTTTAGATATCTGTTCATCAAAAACTAAGAACTACTACAAATAGTACCGACTTCCGGAAAGCCAGTAAAACTGCAAACATCTTGCAGTTATTGTAAGCTCATAAAGTCCTACAACTATAATTTCTAAATACGAATCATCTCGTGCATCCCTCGCGTGCAAATTCCTCCTTTGATGTACATTAAATTAAACATTTCGGTGGGGTAAATACAATCTTTTCTGGCAAACGCAGAAGCGCACTCATCTTATACACGCACGAAAGATTAGCTCGTAAAGTTTAATTTCCTACTTCAAAAAAAAAAAGAAAGAGTCGTTTTAGTTTAATAATAAATTATGAAGAGATTATGTTGCTGGAATTGCATCAACACAGACGCAGTTTGGAGGTGGTTGCATTGCGATGAGCAGCTGAGGAAGAGAGCCTGCAGGGCGTATAAATTAAATTCTGTTTGAAACTGAGTTTCGCAATTATTTAGTTTCAATTACAATAGTTCATACAAATAGAAGTGAACAGTTAGGACATTGTTAGTAAATAGCGCACTTTGCAATTGATGCCACCAGATTTTCTGATTGCTGCCCTATTGGTGTTTCGAATACGCATTTCGTTCCACCAAATATCGAAGTTTGCAATTGATTAAATCTATCTACCACACATGTATTATGTAAACGTTTTGTTGGTGGACTATACAAAACCCATGGAAACTTAAATATTTTGGTTATTGACTTTTATATCATGTGATTTTATTGTATGAATTGTTTTAATTTTTAATATGTAACTTTATTAATCACACACATTTATAGTTTTATTTTATGTTTTTTTTAAGAATCACTGTTTAAGCTTAAAATTCATATACATTTTACTGCAACTATAACATTATATACGTTATATACAAAATGAATGTTAAATTTACTTAGTAAATAATTTAAGTAAATAAACTTTTATGACGGGTCGAAATGAAATTTGCTTAATATAACCGGTCCGTTATAAAGTTAATGGGCTGTTAAACATCCATTTCCGTTGTGCAAACCTTTCATTACGAAAAAAATAAGTATAAACTCAACCATCAATTGTTAAATGTTAACGATAAATCTAAAACCAAAATAATTAACATTATAAAAAAAAAAAAACGTAAATTAAACAATTATTAAAAAAAACAAACATAACTGTTAACGAATAATCTAGAAACATATGTAATTAACACGTCCGTTAATTGTTAATTGTTGAACATCGAAATTGTTGTTTTTTTTTTTGTAAATTTATGATGTTTATGTTTATCTTATATGCGGCTCGGAACTCTGTAATTAGTGGTTCGTTAATTTATTCAAGTGAGAGCTTCGTTGAGAAGGCGAAACTTTTTCAATCAAAAAGTTATGGAAGCAATTCCCAAGTTTTGCTTTGGCTTCGAAATTGCATGGAAACGCTGCCGAAAAAGTGAGGCTGTTGCAGTGTAATCGTGCTAATTAGTTGCAAACACTATAAATAAAAGGAAGCGAAACAAAGCAAAAGTAGCTACAATTAGTATATTTTGTTATTAACAATTTTTTTTTTAATATACTAATGGTGTAATTAAGCCTATTATATAATTAATCAATTAGTAAAATAAATAATACTTATTTGCAACAGATCAATTTGTTTTTATTTTATTATTATGTTATTTTGTTGAGTTTGTATTTTGGTGATTTCTTGCATGTAAATAGTAATTTGATTGAATTAATTATTTAGAAAATAATAAAGTTTGTTTAATTGAGAGCTTTGTTTTGTGCTTAGCTGAAAGCAAATTTCACTATTTAGATGATATCCCGTGACTAATCCGTAACAATTTCCCAACCGCCTTAAAGGGGATATACCCTTTCAGGCAAAGTAAATTTAACGACGAAAACTCTTAGCTACGGATCATTTGATGCAGAAGAGAGGAATTCCAAGCCGGCTCGACCATCCTATTTATAGTGCACCAAGTACAGCGCCGAAAGATAATGGAAAAATTGTAAGGAAACAAATAAAAATAACGACTACGTAACAAAACGAGGCATGCAGGCCGAATACACACAATCATGCTGTAAATAATATCCTGATCATAGAATATTTGCAGTTCTGATTGAAAATTAATAGTAGTAGTAGTAGTAGTAATAATGAAATGTGTCGCTTTCAAAACCAACCTTTACCTGTCATGACGGTATGAGAGGGAGACGCGGGCGGCGGTGGTGGCTGCGCCGTCGTCGTCGGAGTGGCCGCCTCCAAGCGGGTCTCGGGTCCCGACGATCCATCCTCGACCTCCTGGAGGTCCACAGTCACAACCTCCTGTCCAGCCAGCTTAAAGGACTCGAACGACACGCAGCAGTCAGATGGGATTGAAAGAAACGCAACGGTCACCTTCCGAAGAGTCCGATAAGAAGACGAAAACGCGCACAACAGGAAAACAAATAAAGGGCACTTCCGGATTCAGTCTTTTCGGTATTTTGCACGACGACGTCAAAATGCCTTCCGAAATTTTACGAATTACGACGAATACGAACCAAAGACGTGATTTTATTTAAATTTTTATATATATTTAATAATAATTTTAATAATAAGACAATAAAAAAAAGTATTTCTCGATATATTATAATAATATAAATTTTTGTATAAAGTGTGTCGATTATTTAAAAAAATTGTCCTTATATATAAAATTTTGAATAGAAAAAAGGCGATGCGCGTTTGTCTCTTCCGATTACTCTCTTAAACGTAACTATATATATATAATAATTATGTAATTAATGAATTATTGATTTCGCCTGACGCGCAAAGAACGAACCCAAGACGTATGAATTCCCTCTTTCGAATAGTACAATACGCGTTTATTTATTTGTTGGTGTTTTTTTTTTTTTTCCAAGTAGAATCAGTCGATCATCAATAAAATGTTGTTTCATTTGTTTTCTTAATTTGTTTCAGTCGAAATCAGTCTAATACAGTCTTCAAAGTTTAAGATGTTCTCTAATATTTTTTTTTTTTTAATATAGCGATGTAAGATTAATCAATTAATTAATGTTAGATATTGCTTGTAGCTTTCTCTCTCTCTCTTTTTTTTTATCTCTCTCTCTCTATATATATATTTTTTCTCCTCGTCAGTAATTTGTTTTTTTTTTTGTTTTGTTAAATCTATTCTCTTTTCGTGTGATATTTTTTTTTTGTTTATATCCGGAATATAATATAAAGAATTGTATAATATAGTCAAGGCCTCTATAATTTATTTTCTTAATGTAGTGAAATCTCTTTAGAACTAAATCTGCTACCGTGTGTGGTGGTGATTTCTTAAATAATTTGTTTTGTCTTCTTGCTTAAAAGTTAGTTTGAACTACAGGTGGACAGAAATCAAATGAAAATTCCTTAATAATAATAATAATATTAGATATAAATTTCTCTTCAACATTAAATATAAACTATATCGAAACACAATCAACGTACAATATAGTATGAGTATCGAATACACACATTATCATTATAGATCACGGGATTTGCGGAACACATTTAGGTATTCTTCCTCGTTCGAAGAAGATTCGGTGACGTTTTGAAACGGAAAATCTCATAACACGGATTCACCCCCGTTTCGAAGAAACTGTCGTTACGTTAAGAAGGGCACACGGACCAAACGCGAGGATCGCATATGCATTTATACAGATCACGTATTTGTTTTTATTTTCTTCTTCTTCTTCTTCTTCTTTCTTTTCTTCTTTTTCTTAGCCTGTTTCGATCCCGAGGTGGACAAGGGAGGACTTCTCTTCGAACCGCATTTAAAGACACGAACCGACAGAAATAAACTTAACGATAATCACACGGCGGCGGGTGTCGCACTTTTTCGGAAATTTCGATGGCTTTCGGATCCCCAGCGCGACAAAATATAGGAAGAAGAAAAAACGAAACAGCCAACTTCTCTCCAAATTAAACGAAATATATAAACAACACGTTACTTTTCTTTTTCTCTCTCTCTCTCTCGAGCGGTTTCTTCTGCAGGGCGCTTCGATTACATAACTTAACTGCTTTTTTTCTCTCTCGCTATTTTTCGTTTGTTGTTGTGATGTTGCTTCAAGGACCGAAATATTATTTTTTTAACAGCCAAAGAGTCTATTGTGAAGCGGCACACGTTGACTCCGCACTGAGCCGCGATGGCGCTGCTCTCCCAAAGCAGACTCACAAACGAAAAACAACCCCTAACTAAAACCATTAGATAACACCCAAATGCACATAAAATTCCCATTGAAATCAACGAAAAACTTTCAATTTTACTCATAAATCAACTTATATAACAGCGAAAACGTAAACACTCGTATCAAATCATCGAAAAAACTAACAACTTCAATAATTGACATCAACCAAACCTTTCAAAACTATATAAATCTAAAGTTATTAAGTAATACATCGCTTTAATCAACTACTAATTAATTACTAACTAATTAAAAGGCTTCAACAGTACAAGAAATCCTAAATTTATCAATGAGTCTGTTTACGCTATTGTAAATGTAACTTTTTAAACGCATGCGCGTTACGCTTGTACCAAGCGAATCCACCATTTCGATCGGGGGTTGCTTCGCACTGCACAAACAGGGGGAGCTTTCCCTAAAGTCGATCGCAACGCAAACCGGGACCAGAAATTACGACCTATTCAATCCCTTTCCTCTAATTACTTTTAAATATAAATTAAATCATTTCGTTATTGATCTAAGCCAAAATCTCCCTTGTAAACAGTCATTTTTCTGTTTATTCAGTAATAGGGTGCGGTGGATAGTCGGTTGTATGAAAAGGGTGAAAAAAAAATAATAATAGAGGAAGTACGCTTCGAGCGAGATGGAAAATAGAGTAGTGGATGAAGACGTCAGCGGATGAGGAAGCGCTTCCGCTTCCGGGATTGCGCGCGCTACGCGTACGAAATAAAGTATTGTTCGACTGAAATAGTTAAAAGTACTCACCGACATTGGACAAATGTAGTAGTAAAGATAAAAGAAAAACTGCAAACTCACCTGCAAAAAGAAAATAAATTACAATTTGTTTAGAGAGAAGCAGAAACAATAAGCGTCAATTAGAAATGTTAATGAAGTGCTTGGCAATTTGCATGTAATGAGAGAGGGAACAATGTAATTAACGTGGGTTGAAATTTAATAAATTTGTAAAACCGCAGTGACAGAGTATTGAAACAATGTAGTGACACATTGGTTAATGCGTTGAGGAAATGAAATTTCCACCTACGGAAAGCGGATTCTCTTGATTACATTTCGAATAAGTTTTCGTTTCGAAGAACCGCCTACTGCGGATGTGGGTGGTAAGCAATTTCTCTTGAATAACGGATTCAGATTAAATAATACGAATCCATTCAATCGAATTACTTAAGTTGGATACGAAAGATTATTGTATTACGATCTGAATTTGCTCGAAATACTCTCATTGTATAAGATTTTAAACAGTTATTTAATATTAACATATAAAAAGTTCAAATAAATTGCAAGAAAATAATTAATAACAAATAATGAATTCGTTTAAATGTTATCAAATTATTACATAAAATTTGGAGAAAATAGTCAGTGGAAAATTTGTTTGTATGTAATTTATGGGTGAAATAAAGTGTATCAAATAAATGTAATTCTGTATTATCAATGACAGACATGAAATATATTTACTTTTTTTTTTATAAATCAATAAATTACTACTAAAGTTGATGTATTTTTAATTTACATCTATAAATAATACGATGAGTACATTTTAATGGACTTTTTCTCATATTATTGATATTCTATTATATTCAAATGTATTGTACTTCAACAATGATAAAATAAGTTTATTATCATTGCAAATTTTAGTAATAATAATATTGATTAATTTATTTATTATGAAACACAATTGAATTCGTAGAGTATAACAAATTTCAAGATCAACGAGTAAATGATGAATTTGTCATCAAACTATTTTTTTATAATTTACATTTTGTATTGTGTTATACAATTTTGTTTACTTATTTTTATTTTATATTCAGATTCTAAATGAATATATTATGTAAAATTGCAAGAAATAACTGTATTACAAACGTATTCATCACAGATGGTTATGGTTGATACCATAAGGTTTTTAAAATTTGTAAAACAAAATCTTTCTTTTCTAACAGCTTTTTATGATGTAATAATAATAGTATTTGTTTGTGTAAAGAATGTTCTAAGAATAAAATGCAATTTTCTTCAGTTTATCCAACTCCTTGTCTTAAGCTAACATTAGTTATATAAGTAGTGATAATATACGTATTTTTTTTAGGATGTTTCGTAAGCATCGATCACAAAGTCCATCAGTCGTGTAAATTGCGAGGATGTGTAGGATTGTTACTTTACCAAATCATGTCCATTCCACTAGAGTGCCATAATATTTGGACCAAATTGGTAAAAGGTACCGATTACTCATGTGTGCAAGTAGTAGAAGACATTGCTTAACATCTGTAAAACATCTACAAAACAAATATCTCATAATTTCGTAAACGTTGAAGGTAATCGATGGAACTTTAAAATTGGTCAACTTTCATTGATGTTCATCATTACATTTAACCAGTTACTATATAATACAGGGTTTCCCAAACTATGTTTTTTTTTTCTTTCAAGTCCTTATTATACACACATAATAATCATTACACGTACAATCGTAATCGATCATGTTTTTTTATATTAACAAATGAATAGGATTTTGTTTGGAATTAAGTTTGGAAGTAGAATAAGTATATATAATCAATCTCAGTAAAACCTTCAAAGATGCATAAAGTCTCGGTAAAACCTTCATATGATGAGGCATAGTCTCATAAAAACCTAAGACGAGCATAGTCTTAGTAACGAATAAAATTATGTAAGACCATTAAATTCCCAACAACTGAGACTCCACAACGACAACACCAGACAATATTACACTGTGTCCAGAATTCCATCCCTTGGACACGACAATGTTGTCGTGGCCGACCAATTTATTGTCATCTATTGTATAACTAATATGTATATTTGTTAGGGCCATGACTTTCCTCTTAATTATTACAAATCATATTTAATGTATCCATCAAATATACAAACGGATACTTGTACGACGGTTACACATTAAATCGTATAGTTGCGTCTATTGCATCACCACTTAACAGCCTTCTTCAGCCCTTAAATATTTGGGCAGGATCATAAAACTTAGATAAAGAAACACTTGTGTTTTCCACAAGTCCACAAGTCATTTTTGAAATGAACACATTTTTGTATTATATAATTTAGTCTTAGTCAGGGGACCGAAGAGAGAAGAAGTCTTAGCTAAGGGGTCGAACTGAGAAGTTGGTCTTACTTGGGAGAGTCCAAGGAAGAGCACTTACTTCATAAACACTAACTTAAGAGGAGAATGTAACTCTTAGTTAATAATACCTGAGATCAACTATTGTTTAGTTGACTTCTCAATAAAACTCCGATGTATACAATAAAGTTAATAAGACTCCGCAACGACATAACTACGAGATAATCCACGGTGTCCAAGGATTTCTTAACCCTGGGACACGACAATGTGTTGTCCCT